GTGGGGTGTGTGTGTGTGTGTGTGTGAATAAGACCACCCATTTGTCTTCAGCGATTGTATCAGGGAGGTGAGCACATGATGATATGATTTTTTGTTCTTTGATGCCTGATAACCGATCCCTTTGGCACCTCATGATCACGCAGGCTGGTGTGGGCTTTGTTGCTTCTGAGATAGATGGCTGCTTGTTTACCTCCAAACCTTTAGGACACGAAACTCTCTATGTTTTGATAGCTGGGCACCATCCACTTTCTTTACCACATTTGTTTATGCACCTATTTTGTCTTCAGCGATTGTGTCAGGGATGGTGAGCATCACAGAATGCCAGGTTATTAGAACAAAGTGTTCTTGCGTTGAGGGAGTACTTGAGTAGAGGCCCAATGTTCGTCCATTACTTTAATACTTAACATATAAATATATTTACATAGATTTATTTCCCTGTTGTCATATATAAATATATTTGCATGTGTACATGCCTGTATTTAGATCTCTAAAAATGTCCTTTCTTCTATTTCCTTTTACTTTTTCTTATCCCACTATCATATTTGACCTTCATTCAGGTTTTAGTAATTCCTCTTGACTACATTGCCCTTGATCAAGCCCCACCAGGCATCCTTCACTCTCCTCACCATCAATTTTATTTTTTATTTGTTTTTTAGTCATCCATTTTAGATCACTTGTTGATCCCTCGTCCATGGGTTGATTGATTGCTCTCCTTCCTTTCCCCTGCTTTCCCCTCTCTCATGTCCCACCAGAACCATCGGTCCTATTGTTTTCTCCTCCAGATTGTTTATCCCACCTATCTTATCTAGATAGATATACAGAGGTAATAATAAGCACAAAACCAAGACAGAACAAAACAAAACAACAAAAGAAAATAAATAACAACAACAACAAACCCAACGACACCCCCCCAAAAAAGAAAAGGCTATAAATAGTTCCAGGTCTGTTTGTTGACCTTTAGGAGTGTTTACCAGTAGAGTTTGGTGAGTTACCACACCCTGGCCTTAAAATTTATTTTTGGTATTTCCCAGGGACTTCATTCTTTGGTCGCCTTGCTGCTCTGTTGTAGACCCTTAGTGTTTCGCCCCTGTGTGCTGGGGTCAGATGGAGCACAATTCCTGCACTGTGCCTCCAGTATTGTTCCTTGTAGCAATATGGGTCAGTGAGGGATGTCTTGTCTTGTGGTGGGGCCGGCCCTATGGTCCTCTGTGTGCATTGGCTGCTCTGAGCAGGAATATCATCCTGGGGGCTTGGTGGGCCAGGATGTGTTCCACTCTCTCCTTCCCTCTTTGTTTGCTCCTGTGTGCTTTAAATGTTTCTTAAACCCATATCACCTACTATTTCTTATTCATTCTAGAATTTCTCATAGCATAATCTGATTTCAGGTAAATTTACATACTAGCTATTTTTCTTATCCCTGGAATGAAGGGATGGGCTACTCATTCAGAGAGTTTCTGAGTTCCTCTAGCACAGACACACCATGCTCCACAGCCCTTAGTCTGATGAACTAACAGACAGTTGGCTACACTGCTTAGCTTCTTCTCTTGGCACTCGAGTCTCATATTCTTGGAACTCTCCAGGACTCAACATCCTGTGACATATGTGCATCCAGAAATATTTGTTGACCTCTCATCAGAGAATAAGAAACACTCTAATAACTTTAAGTTCAACCTTTCCTCCAGCAATTCACATTTCCATGTGGCAGCCCATTTCATTAAAAGAAGAGTTCTACCAGAAAGTTAATATTGTTTTCTATTACACTTCAAAGTGAAACTCCAGTTCCCTTCCAGTATCAGGTGTTGTTAGCAGTTTCCTGCCCTTCTCCCCTCTACATTTCATTTAGGAATCAGAAAAATGGAGCAGGGAAGTCATTAGTAGTCGACTTTTGAATGAACTTAGGAGCTTCCTTAGAGATGAGAGAGTTGCTGGGGAGCCAGACTGAATTTGAGAAGAATGACTATGGTTTCCCCATCTTGAGTTCTTCTCACTCATTTCCTGAACAATTTTTTTTAGGACGAGGTGGCTTGTCTACTCTCCAGCCACTAGCACAGTTCCACTCTTCACCAGAGAAAGTGCATGCTTCAATTTTGAGGCACAGAAGTAGTTTGAAACAAGTAGCAATAATCACAGCAATAACACCAACTAATCTTGATGGGTTGCAATGGACCTAACTTATTGCCTCAGCACATCAATAAGTGGAAGATTTACTATAGGGTGATAAGTGCGTTTCAAAATAAGAGAGACTGAGAATGATGAGAGAGAAGTAAGAATATATGTGTTAAGTCAGAAGCCTTTTGTGCTTTCTTATTTCTACGTTTGGAAAGATTTTTCTGGCCATTACATAATGCCCTGTCAACTTGCAAAGGGGTGGAATCTAGCCTGTCCATCAGGTCACAGCCAATGAGGCCTCTGTGTGGGCATGGCCTTCTCCTGAGCATTCTGGGAACTCCTGTCTTCCTGCTGGAGGTGGGACACAGAGACACACTCTCTGTTTCATATTCCTGATGACAAGCCACATGGAGCTACATTGATGGAGCCAGAGCCCGGAAGCTGGAGGAGCCACATGGAGACCCACACCAGCACTAAGATGTTTCTACCGCCACAAGACTTTCCACCCACTGGCCTGTGATCTTCCTACATTCAGTGTCATTGGATGTGTTGCATGAGTCTGAAGAGGAATTTGTGGGCTAGTATCAAGATATGGGGTAATTTCAGACTTATGGACTTGATCTGGATTGGGCTGGGTTGTTTTCTTAATGTACAATTGCTCTTTGATATAAAGGTATCTCTTACACACATATGAGTGTCTCTGGATTTGTTTCTCTACTCAACCCAGACTAACACATGGAGCAATAATGATCTCATGAGTGGTCACCACACTGCAATTAGCTTAGCATTCTTCTTCACTTTAGATGTTGACAGTAACTGGGGACTCTGTCTAACGCTGGACTTTGAGGGTCTTGAAATGTCAATGCATGTGTATATGTGATGTGTGTGTGTTTGTGGGGTGTGTGTGTGTGTGTGTGTGAATAAGACTGTCCCTGCCAGCCCTCATGAATGAATAAGTGGTACCATAGTCTGCCCCAGAGGTAAACTGCACCTTAGATGAACAGTGATAGTTCCCTACATTACAAATCCTAATGTAAAATGAATGTTCATATAGAAATAATATTACAGAAAGTGGCTTTGTTATTAGACTAACCCCCCGAAGAATATTTAGAACTCATCAGAAATGATATTCCAGTGCTACACAGAGAGTCTCTGTGTCTGAAGTCATTCAGTTAAAGTATCAAGTGAACAGGATGATACAAAGACAATAACAGCAGCATCTTTTAGAAACACTCTGGGTTAAGCAAGCAAATATTTACTGGAAGACTTGGCTACTTAATCTTTTAGGTATCAGGGAAACAAGCTTGACCTTCAGCGGTTGGTATATACTTAGCACCTCTATGTATGTACTCCCCATTTAAATCTGTTCATTGCAAAGAAATCTTATGAAGCAGGAAGAGTGGAATTACATCATGTGAAGGGGGTTATAGTCTAAAGTCGATGAGTAAAATGAAAACTGTGTAGAGTTTTCTACACAGTTGCTTTGAAAAGGCCTCCAGTTACACAAAAAGATATGCATGGCTTCATTACAGTCTTGCACCGTAGGTACAAGTTGTAGGAGAAATGCAGTTATGTGTTATAAAGGGTTCATGTGTAACATGTGGTATCAAGGATGATATTTCTGGGCTTATTCATAGGAGGCCATATGTGAGAATAAGGATCCCTGGTGGTGCAGTGGTTAAGCACTCATCTGCTAACCAAAAAGTCGGTGGCTCAAGCCGATCCAATGTTCTGTAGGAGAAAGATGGGGCAGTATGCAATGGAAAAATGTACAGTGGAAACTGTATGGAAAAGCCTATAAGGTTGGACTGGATTAGAATTGACTTGACAGCAAAGGCTATATATATATCTATTATCTATATAGATAAATAAATATTTAAAATGTATCTATATATTTGAGTTTGCTCCATTATTATCCCAAATTTACCCATAAAACAACTGAGCTAAAAAAATGTCAAGCAACACAGCCAGTGAAAACCAGAGTTGGAGTTGGAATTTAGGTTTTTCTGACTCTGAGATCTCTATCATTCCTTTATATCATCATGTTTCGCCTTTAAATCCCTATCCAGCAAATGGTTTCTGTCTGTAAGTTGGACTTAGCTATGCAACTGATATATAAAAAGATCAACCCAGTGCTAGCGAGTTGTGGTAGTTACATAATCTGTTGTCAATTTGAGACTTAAGAGTGAAGGGGTGGAGTTTAGCCTGTCAAGCAGGTCACAGCATGATGATCTCATTTGGAGGTGCTAAGGAGATAAATAGCTTGCTGGAGGTGGGACACAGACTCACTTCCTGCGAGACATGATTGCTGACAAGACACATGGAGTTATGCTAGAGCCCTGGAGTTGAAGGAGCCATGTGCAGACCCCTGCCAGCGCTGAGATGCCTCTACTGCCACTGAATCCACAAGACTTTCCACCCACTGGCCTGTGATCCTCCTGCGGTTCACATCATTGCATGTGTTGCGTGAGTCTGAAGAGGAATTTATAGATTAGGTATCAGACGTATGGGCTAAATCTGATTTATGGATTTGAACTGGACTGAGCTGGGATGTTTTCTCAATATTCAATTGCTCTTGTATATAAAGCTCTTTCTTATACATATATGAGTCTCCCAGGATTTGTTTCTCTAGTCTTCCAGACTAACACATGAGTCAATTCCAACTTACGGTGATGTCCTGAGTGACAGAGTAGAACTGTTCCATAGGGTTGTTTTTTTACCCCCTCTCTTCCATCTTTACCATAGCAGACCGCCAGGCCTTTCCTCCCTGGTGCTGCTGGGTGGGCTCACAGCACAACCTTTCGGTTAGCAGTCAAGTGTAAACCAGCCCACGACCTACGAACCTCCACGCGTACCAGAAACGCATGGAACTGGAACCTAGCAAGAATTCACAGCATTGGCGATGGGATTTAATGAGCCAATGAAAATGGACAGAATAAGAAATCCAAGTGAGCACTAGCACATAGGTTTCTCTCTTAGCAAACATCAATGTTTTTTTTTCGATAGCCGTAACTTCATGGTTATTCTAATTGCTTTCATTTAACACATGAAACTCCTGAGGATGGATGATGGATACAGTAGGATGGACAATGGAAACAGAAGGCAGTGATCCACATGAAGGGGAAATGTGGTATTGATTAGTAGTGAATGCCTATTATCCCAAACATTTCAGGTGCAAACATCAGTCATTCATCTCTCCATCCATCCATCCATCCATCCATCCATCCATCCATCCATCCAATAGAAGATATAAACCATGGGCCAACCACTATGGACAGACTTTTTTGGTTTTAAAATATAAGACATACTTCAGTAATTTGAAACTCTATACTGGTTTTAAATGTTAGCCATGATTCTTACTGAGTATAAAGTTAGAAACATCTATCCCACCCTCAGGAGTTTTATCATGTTATTTTGTATTGTAGGTCAATTTGAATTGTCATTTTCATGAGTGAAATAATTTCACTGAATTCTTGGGACCCATTAGTATCTTAGTACATTGCTTCAAATTATTGCAATAGCATGTCTGTGAAAATGCAGGTGAGGCAGGCTTTTAGTTAATCAGAGCAGAATTTTCAGCCAGTAACTGATGAGGGTTGCCTTATATTTTACTTATAACTAATAAATTCCCAGGCTTATTCGCTAGCATCGTGTTTTGACCTGGGGTCAGAAATATCAGGGTTGATCACCATTCCCTGCCGCTCAGGTGTGCTATGCATCACATGGGCACTGGAAGTGGAGCTGTGGTTGTTACCTGTGGTGTTGAGACCAAAGAGCAGTGGGCAGGACACGGCGAAGGCCAGTACCCAGACGGCTGTGATCATAAACGCCACACGCCGGCAGGAGCTCTGTCCTGTGCCATGCTGGTAGTGCACTGGCATGACCACGGCGGTATACCTGAAAAAGGAAGGAGAGAGGCCGGCGTGATGAGAGGGCAGAGGAACTGCCCCAGAGACAAGTTGTCGTGCAAAGAGGTTACTGGTGCACTAGTTATGCTCAGAGAAAAATCATTTCGCTAGAGAAAGCCAGAGAGCCTTTGAGTGAAAACAGAACAATTAAGAAAAGGTAAACGGAGAACTCCTTGAAGTGGGTAGGGGTGCAGAGAAAGGGAGAGAGGGTAAACATGTTCATGTGGCAACACCAGCTCGCTGGAGCTTTGAGACCAGTCACGTAGTCACACACCCTGAGTGACCTTCTGTTCTCATGGATCCTCACATCACACAGGGAGTCACTGGGCTTTGAACAGCTGTCTTATGGACCAGCGCACATAAAAGTTATTCTATTAGAAATTCAAGACACACGTGTTAGTTCGTGAAAACAAATGGGTGCTACTTTGTGATTTGCACCAAAACACGTTGACTGTTATGGTTATGTTGTGTTAAAGATCGTTCAGTGTATCTAGAAGTACCGTGTTTCCCCGGAAGTAAGACATCCCCCCAAAATAAGACCTACTTACAGTTTTGCCTCTCGCTGAAATATAAGGCATCCCCCCAAAATAAGACCTCCCCAAAAATAAGGCCCCCTGAAGCTACCGTAACTCTGGACTCTGGACTGTAGCAGCGGGCGCTGCCGCGCAGCTCACTGTTGGCCACAGTGCAGCTGGAGAAGACAGGAAGTATGAGTAAATGTACCATAGATTGTTGTACATGGAAATGATGGTAGTAACAAGAAATTCTTGATACTGTAGGATTCACAGTTTGTCTGCTTATGCTGGTTTGTGATGACAACTACTACCGTACCATATACAGGTAATAAATTTCCTTTTTTTTTCAACAATAAATGTGTACCGTATTCTTCTTCATGGAAAAATAAGATATCCTCTGAAAATAAGACCTAGTGCATCTTTGGGAGCAAAAATTGATATAAGACACCGTCTTACTTTCGGGGAAACGGTATCTCTCTAATGTTGTTTGTGCATAGAAAGATACACTACATACTGTATACGAAGACAAATGCTTGACTAACTGATGTTAGATACAAATTGTACCTCGTGGTTCTGATTTATGGTATAGACATGACTTAAAGATGGATTTAAGAGTGGAACTTGTTTGTCATCTGGGGGAATGTCTTTAGTCGTAGAGCTTTCCCCAAAGGATGCAAACGCTGCTTCTCCCCATGAAAAGCTATTCCTAGCGTTAGGTTTTCAAAACAGAGGTCAGTAGCACAGAAATGAATGGTGTCCCATGCAGGAGAAAGATGAGGCTTTACAGTCTGGGAAACCCACAGGGGGCAGTTCTACTCTGTCCTACAGGGCCAGTATGAATTGGAATCAACTTGATGGCAGTGAGTGAATGTCCAATGGGAGTTCAAAGTCCAGTTTTTGTGTCTTTAAATGGCCAGAGCAACTCATTGTTTTTGAGCACCGTTGGCTTTTATATGGCAGCTGCACGCTGAACTTACCTGGGATGATTATTCCATAATCACCTCAGAGTCAACATATCTGAAACAGATCTTCCTCCACTGCTTCATTTGCTTCCACTTCCTGAATGTCTTCTTTCTAGCGCCCAATGCATCTAGATCCAATATGCAGACCTTTGGGACTCTTCTTTGACCATTTCCTATCATTTGCTCACCCATTCCTTTGACTCTTTATTCAGAATTTATTGAGTCTTTACTATGTCAGACCTGACATCGACCTGTTAGATTCTGCAATTACAGGGATATACAAAAGAGGAACAGTCTTTAGCTTCCTTGAGTTGAGAGCGGAGAGGATGGGCTATAAAATGAAATCAAGATGCCATCAGAACATGAATAAGTTGGGTGATATGTTGGAGAATAATGGGAGGAGGCAAAAGCACAGCGACCCAATATAGATAGAGTGGGCACAGAAGAGAGTGGGCCAAGGAGGGGCCAATCAAGAGGTGGTGCAGGGGAAGAACATTCCCCCAAAAAGGACAGCAGGAGCCATTTACTGATGATGATGATGTCTTCCCTAATTATCTACCCACCCTTTTCCTACCACCTGTGCTCTGGGAGGGCCAGAATCTCCTGGAAGATCTACTCATATTTAGCATTTCATTCCTCAAATTCATATTTTACTCTTCTGTTGGGTCCCCAAAATAGATTTGATCATTTCATACCCCCGGTTCAGAACTCTGTGGTAGGTAGAATTCTAAGATGACATTGAGTCCTGGCCTTTATGAACACATCCCTGTGAACATGGTAGCATATCTCATCTATGATTATATTACTACTCAGCTGAAAAAGATAGACGATCATAGGTGAGCCTCCCATAACCAAGTGATTCCTTAAGCGGGATTGGCCCCTTCCTGAAATCAGTAAAATTCAAAGGATGACAAATTTCCCTGCTTTAAGGAGTCAAATTCTGAGTTTTGGAGAGGGCCATATGGCAGGGACAGCCAAGAGGTCTCTCCAATCTCCAAGCTCACTGTCATTTGAGTGAATTCTGACTCACAGAGGCCTTTAGGAGCTCAGAATGGCCCCGGTTGTTAGCCAGCAAGACAGTGGGGACCTTAATTCTACAAGTATAATAAACTCAAATCTTTCAGTCTCAATTTGGAGGTTTCGAAGGGGATCCCAGTCTTCTCATACACCTTGATTTCAGCTTTGTGAGACCATGAACAGAAAACCTAATTCTGTGCATGGCCTTCTGACATGCAGAACTGCGAGAAAATAAGTGGGTGTTGTTATAAGTCACTACATTTGTGACTGTTTGTATATAGCATTAGAAAACGGTTCGTGCTTTTCTTTATCCATACACAGGACTTCTTAGCCTTCTCACCATGACTTCAACGCACCTGGCCAAACTGACCTCCAATTGGCCGAGGGATGGCACTCTTCCCAAACAGAGGCCATTGTTTTGTGTGACCCGTTATCCCTTCTTCCTCATTCTTGCCCTCCCTGAATCCTAGATCTGGTCTTTACCAATCTTTCCATTCCTTTTCAGGTTACAGAGGACACCCCAAAGTACAAAGCTCACCTCCATCAAGTCGGTGCCCACTCATAGAAACCAGCTAGGACAAGGTGGAACTGTCTCCCCGTGAGGTTCTGAGACCAACTTTGCATCTTTCTCCCACTGAGCAACTGCTGGTTTCAAACTGCTGACCGAATGGCTAGCAGCCCAACACAGAACCAGGGCTGCAGGGCTCCTATAAAGCCCACTCCCTGCCTGGAAGCTCATAAAATTTCTCTACCAATCAATCACAGTGTGCTCCTGCACGTAACTGTCTTGCCTTATTATTTAACTTACCTTTTGGCTGGATGGACACGACCTCCATGTGATTTCAGGTATTTGATGGCTCTCATCATCTTCGAGTTTTAATATTCCCAAGAGGTCCTACACAAAACTTTCAGAAGCTGTTGATTGACTTGTCATGATTCCCGAAGGCCTCCTTCTCCACGAGATGGCAAGGGTTCAAAAGGCACAGCTGGATTGTTGGAGGCTATCAAGTCAGTTTTTGACTCATAGCGATCCTTTAAACCCCAGAATGAACTACTGCTTCCAGCTTCTGGACCATTCTCCTAATCGTTGTTCCATTTGGGGCCCATTGTTGCAGCCACTGTGCCAATCTATCTCGTTCAGGCTCTTCATCGGTTTGCTCACCCACTGCTTTACCCAACACGAGTCCTTTCCAGGGGCTGGTCTTTCCGGATGACATGTCCAAAGTGCAGGAGACAAAGTCTCACCACCCTCCCTTCCAAGGAGCATTCTGGCTTTACTTCCTCCTAGACACAGTCGTTTGTTCTTCTAGTAAGTCCACCGTACTTTGGATATTCTTTAACCATACAATAGCTCAAATGCACCAATTCTTCTATGATCTTCATTATTCATTGTCCAACTCTCACATGCCTAAGATGCCTAAAAATACCATAGCTGGTTGGCTCAGGTATTTCCAGTCTTCTAAGGGACATCTTTACTACTTGAAAAAGGTCTTGTGCAGCAGATTTGCCACAAACTTCTCCGTATAGTCCATCTTCTTAGATTCTTTGCTCAGTTTACTTTAATTAATATGGTGAAAGGATAAAATCGGTGGTGGGATTAGAATAATTTAACAACCAATTCACTTCCCTAATGACCATTTTAAGTATACAAAATGATCTCCTGTAAGGTAGTTTATTATTTCATATAATTTTAATAAGAGAGGTACACATAACTGGATGATGTTATAAGAAGTTTTAAAATATTCATGAACAAATATTTGAATCGATTCTGTCAATAATACCTGACAAAAACAATATAACTGTTATTTAAGATATTTCCATATTGTGACTGAGTGGCGTCCTCACTTGCAAAAATTCATTTATATCTGAGCATCTATGGGTGTGTGATTTATACTTAACCATCTCTTCATTTAAGGAGCAGGATCCAATTATTTTAGAGGTAGGCCAATTAGGCCATCATCATTGTGTTTGATATATTGGAAACAGACAACGTCTCTTCTCTGAACCTATTATGTTCATCCTTGAAAAACCATTTTCCGCTTCTGCTGAAGTTACAATTGTTCTGACAACATTTCTAGCTCTTTGAACACTTTCAGGAATTGCATAATTCACTCATATCTTGTGGGAATCTGGGGGTGTAACATGAAGCTGAAAGGAAGGCCAGCCTGTTCCCCTCTGGTTGTTGGGCACTTTCTCTCTTTCTGTTACATATTTGTTTCCTGAAGTAACAAGTGCAAGGGAATAAAAAGTCATATTTCATCAAAAGTATAATGAGTTTTATGAAATTAATAAATAAATCATACAAGCTTAGTTCCATCTAAGTTTTTATACTTGTGGACAAATTACTACAGATGCTTAGGAGATGGTATTGCACAGATGAACATTAAAAAAGGGTAAGGAATGTAAATTTGTAGCTGCTTAGCCACATCGTGTGACTGCTCAGCCACTCACCTTAGAGAGAACCCTGATTACAAGTGTCATTTAACAACCGGTTC